TTGATTCGTGCCTTCCTCAAAATTGACCTTTGCTCGCTTTCTACTCCCTATATACAATTTTCACACTGCCGTACTCTAACGGAACTATCAACTCTACACTTTCATCTCCTCATCTGTTGTATAAAATGACCACTTTAAGGTTGATGTTTGATGTTAAGAATCTCCAACTATGTAAAATTAACTTGTTTCTATGTCTAGTAGGAGTTGGACCGAATAAAGTCTGGTCCACTTAGAATCCGGATACTTGATTTATTGCAGCGCCGCTAGTGTTCGGATTTGGAATTTGACGGTGATTTGTTTTGAAAGTACACGTGTTTCAGTGGTGCAAGTTTCGTCTTGATACGTGCAGTATTAAAAAAAAATGTATTAGATGGAAGATGAGAAAAGAAAATTAATCCTGCACACCCACGGCAAAAACCTGACGTGGCCAATTCGAAATATTGCGAAAAAGTTGAAAATTGCCTTTTCTACCATGAGATATGTTCTCAATCGGTTCCGTGATCGCAAGAAAGTGGCCCGGAAAGTTCAAAGCAAACGTCGTGCTGGAAAATTGGATGGGCAGCTGAACTGGAAGGCGTTGAGGTCGATCAAGAGAAACCCAGGACTCGCGGATCGGGATGTCGCCAAAAAAAAATACGGTGCCAGCCATTGTACCGTCCGGAGAATTCATCTGCGAGCAGGTTACCGTTCATTCCATGCCTCCAAGCAACCGAACAGGACGAGAAACATAATCTAGTGGCCATAACAAGCGCCCAGAAGTTGTACGACCGGCTTCTGACGAAGTACAGTGGATGCCTTCTCATGGACAACGAAACCGATGTCACGACGCATTTCAGGCAGGTTCCTGGTCGAAAGTTTTATCGAGACAAGGGGTGATGTCCCCAACAAATTCAAGTTGGTTTTCGGCGATAATTTCGCCCAGAAACTTAAAGAAATGGCCGCTGAGGTTGACCAGTCCAGTGTTTGGCATATAATGCAAGCAATTCCAAATAAAGTCCGAAAGGTCATCCGAACGCCGTCGGATTAATTGTGGATTTTTTTTATGAAGTTTTATGATATAAAATACCTTCATTTAGACTAAATTGCATTTTTCATACTCGCGGCTTTCCTGAGGTTAGAGGGGTACATTGTCGAAGGATAGAATCAGAGGAGGAGCTTTTGGGGCATGAAGTAGTTCGCCTCCTCGTGGTGTGCCCTGGAAACGTTAAGTATCGAACCCAAGGGAGAGATATTGCGGCTAAACGAACTACAGCAGAGTAAGGACGCTGGAGCCCCATCCAGCTCGTTCCAGGAGGTCGATAAGCTCTGCACAAACCCTCGTTGTGCAAAGGCAGGAGTGACACCGGGTTCTTAGAGTGTATACGACTCTGACCAAGTCGCAGCACACGCAGCTGGTACGCGGCCACAACTGTCCTGTCCTGCCGCGGACAGTTGGCTAGCTATCACGTCTGCTCTAGAACTCAGGCAAACAATTAACAGCGAACGATAAGAGGAAGGCCCTGTACAGCTGCTCACTGTGCAGTAGCGAGTGTCACGTCTGTGACACACCACTAGTGTGATGCGCCATAGCGCAATCGGCCCCTCCCATGATGTAATGCTTTCGGACGGTTCCGGGGAGGACAAGGGCCAAGAGCACAGGGTAAGGTTTAGTGGGTCGGGAGCGCTACTTCTCCCAGTTATCTTCTCAGGTGTCTGGGAGCAGATTCCCCCTGTATAAAAAAAGAGGAGGAACTTGGCGGTGGGGTTTCGTTGCCTCATCAGAGCGTTGTCGCCAGTATGAACGATAGTGCGGAACTAGAATCATCTGGAGTTCGACCAGCTATGGTGAACAGTGGGCGACGATGAGACTCATCGAAACGGGGGAACAAGACAAACAAAAACTAAAACCAAACGATTTTTCCTTCTTCTGGAAGTTTTTTTTTTTTCAACTTCCTCTTTAATATTTTGATTGGCTTCTTCGGTAGGATTCTAATGATTTCTCTTGTAACTTTCTTCCGACTTTGTACGAAAATTTCTTCCAACATCTTCCAGAAGTTTTTTTTTTCGACTTTACCTGAAATAATCTTGCATCTTTCCAAGAAATTTTCTTCCAAATTTCTCCAGAAATGTCAACGGAAGTTTCTTCTGACATTCTCCAGAATTTCTACTGGCTCTGAAAGCTGTAGACTCCCTGAAATTCCTTAAAACTTTTCCTGGAAGACTCTTCCATCTTTTCTTTCCCTTTATTTATTTTCCATCGACCAATGCTACCGACGCCAGGGAGGCAACTCCCACACCTGGACCTTAGCTATCGACCCATCAACTCATGGCCGGGGCCAACGACCTAACTTATCTTCCGAGTGAGAGGCAGTCACGCTTACCAATACACCACCGGCGCCGCTAAACTCTTCCATCTTCCACCAGAAATTTCCCACAGCTTGCGTGGATCGGGAAGATTTAGCCAGCTTACTTCAGCCCCAATTAAAAAATTTGGACTCGAAAAGTTTTATAAAGATGACGAAGTGATCAAGTGCACTGTGATATTGGACACGTAAAATTCAAAATGTCGAACCAAAAATAAAAACATAGGAGTTTTCACTATTTTTTCAAGAATCCAACCATCTCGAACACACAATCTTCCCGGACGTTTCTGTTGCCATTCCTGAGTTGCGGGAGATTTTTTTTTTCAATTTGGTTAACTCATGTTTAAATACATAAAATATCAGTTTTAAAAAAAATGATTATTGATGTTTTCACTATTTGTATAGGGAACTGGCTTTCCTGGAACTGGCTGACTAAAAGTAAATTGGTACGCTCAAAAAGACCTGTAATTCGTGGTTCAATAAGTTTGAAAAGTCCATTAATGGTTGCTTTACAGTACTTTTATTAAAACTTCAAAGATTATATTAGATGGTTACATTTCTCCAGTTTGAACGAAATCTCGAACCTTCCTCTTGATGGAGCCCATCAGCACCCCCCGCACAGTGGAAACGGACACGGAATCAGTGCAATTCTTCCATTTTGTCCGCATTTGCTGAATGTCCTTCACTACCCCGCCGCTTCGTCGAAGTCGCTGCTTTGAAATTGCCCAGTATTTTCCGATTGGTTTAAATTCCGGGCAATTCGGAGGATTCATTAGCTTGGGACAAAATCGATCTTGTTGGCAGCATACCATTCCATACTGCCTTGGAGTAGTGGCAGCTGACCAAATCGGGCCAAAAGATGGCCCCTATGCTTGCCGATGAACGGCAATACACGCTATTAGAGGGAATTCTTCGATGCAAACTTGGGATGTCATCGTCGAGGATGTGACGAATGGTTCCGTTTTCAGGCCAGAACTGCAAATCGCTTGCCAAATCATGGTCTTCTTCGCGAACTTGTCAGCAAACACGAACTTGAATCTTCCCGGCACATCCCCACGTCCAGTCGCAATGTAAAACTATTGACCGAGAAGCTGCTTAAAATCAGTACCTCCTGGCCTCATCTCGGATCGAAAGACCGGGGTTGGCTTTAACGCACCCTGGTCTCAGTTTTTCGTAGGTTTGCTGATTCCTTTCCACGCTCAGGGTTTCCTTGTAGGTTTTGAACACTCGACAAACTGTTGTTTTTGGCATCTTCAGCACCTTAGCCAGCTTGGATCCGGACCACTCCGGATTTTCCAGGTGTTTGTGCACAATATTTTTTCTTCTTTCGAGCTCCACTTGACGTTATTTCTGAACGCAATCGACTACTTTGATCAAACTTGCACCAGTTGTTCTCTATAGAAATGTAAACAAACCACTGTCAAAGATTTTCGATTCCCAACAGCCTTTAGTCATTCAAGAAATCAAGAGAATATTGTGATAAAAATAGTAAAATAACTTTTTATTTCTATTTATTTCATCTTTGATTGATTGATTAATTTATTTTGAATTTTTTATTTTTCAATTTTCTTCTTGTTTACATTATTAACCTTCTGGGCATATTTCGGTTGAATTAAAACATTAAACCTACCTAACTAAATGTGTTAAAATGCAGACTGATTAATTTATAGACATATCAAGAAAATCTTAGAAATATTATCGGATCAGGAATTGAGGATTGAGGAACAATCCTGCAAGATTCTGCTCTAAAAATGCGATGTGTTTGGAAACTATTACTTTCTAACTAAGTTGCATCCTGAATTAGCATGCATATCTTATTTTTACTATACCAATTGGACATTAACATTTGCTAGATTCCAGAAATAATGCATGTTTTTCATATGATCCGCCATGGTCAATGTTGAGACTACCACCTTATATTTGAATTTCCAGGATAGGACACCATCTGGATCACACCAGACGCTCGTGATTCGCACTTCCCCTTTTAGCTATCACCTCGATCCGGATCTTTGGACGTTTCGTGCTAAAATCATCCACACTACACTAATCTCATCACAAGCTGCAAAGCTCAACAAGATTGAATACTTCTCATGCATCAACAAGACCACAAGAACAATGAATTAATATAATAGTAACTTGCTTAACCCTGCAAATAAACTCATTTTTCCGCGCCCTAGACGGCAAGAACGTGCACCAATTTCCGCTGTTGTGTGCATTGATAATTAAGACAAGCTTGGACAGTATGGTTTCGGAACCACTGAATCGGGTAGTTTGTTTTTCCAACATAGCTTCCACGATATTGGGCATATTTGCCTTTGATACTGTATCAATCTGCACGCTGGCTGTAATTTTTCACGCTAATGCTGTACAGTGGTGGCTGTGCTCGTGTTTTGATTGTTTTGTTGTAGCTTTCAATTAAAAAAAAGGGTTCCCATGGAAGCCCCTGTGCCACCCGTTGAGGATTGATCCCACGGCCAACAAAGAACACTATATAAACATTGGTGACCGCCGAGAATGGTATCAGTTCAACGGTGATCTTTCGTTGATAAAGTTTAGTTTCGGTTAGGTGCAGTTTCACAAGGAAAATGTTTAAGGTAATAAGTGTAACACAGTGCTTAAGACAAAATTCGTCACTCAGAAGGATATTTTTGTTACTAGGTCGTTGTGATCGCTGCTGCTTTGGCTGCTACAACTGCCGCTTACCGTACTGGAAAAGGATACAATATAGTGACTAAACACGCTACGCAGTACTATGGAACTGGTCTTGGATCGAGTGAAAACTATGAAAATTCCGGATATGGTGCATCGGGCTATGCTGGACAAGGAGATGATGGCTACTCTGTACAAGGAAATCTCCGTTATATGAATAAGGGCTTGAAATACGACAACTACGATCATGACAGTCACAAGGATTATTACGCTTACCCTAAGTACAATTACAATTACGGTGTTCAGGATTCTCATACAGGAGATCACAAGAGCCAGTGGGAAATCCGCGATGGAGATGTTGTTAAGGGAGGATACACTCTGTACGAACCCGATGGTACCAAGCGTGTCGTGGAGTACACCTCGGACAAACACAGCGGATTCAATGCCGTCGTGAAGAAGATTGGCCATGCCCACCACCCACAAATCTATGGCACGGAGAACGGAATCGCTGGCAGCGGTTACAATGGACACCACGATGACAGCTACAGTTATAACAACGTTCACTGAAGCACGCTGGGATCATCGATATAAGTGTAGAACAGAATTTATTTATTATACTGAATTTAACCTGAGATTATGCTATATACCTGTGAAAAATGGTGAACGAAGTTGCATGAAAGATTTTACAGTGTACATATTACGCCTGAATGTAGATACTGATCGAAAAATAAAACTACTCGAAAAAATAGCAAACTACTTGAAATCAATTTCGAATAGATCTCCAGTCATCCCTCTCTTTCGAGAGCGATCATTGCACTTCAGCACTTCTTTCGAGATTGGAACAGCTTCACGGCCGCCGTCGTAAAGTCCATAAAGCAAACCCCACACGCATCAATATATTGACGCGAAGGGGAATTATTGACTATAATATTGATGATGTGAATTCATAAATATTGTCAATCTCGATATATTGACGTCAATATAGCATGTATTGACAATACGATTATTGTCAATAAAAGCAATCGTGTAGGGTTCACTTAAAGTAAAGCAACCAGAGAAATTACAATCAAAACAAACAACGCATTAATCTTCCCGCCCCTCTTAGCACGTCAATCGATCAGCGTGGTTGATGATGGTTGGAGCTTTTCGGATTGCGGCGTTGGTGCGGTGGTAACCGTTTTGTGCCGTTTACACATTGGACAGTGTCAAGGTAAGACGTGCGTGTGGCGAGAGAAGGTTATGGGCAGCATTTGCATATTCTGTACCCAAAACCGGATGCTGTAAACCATAAAGTAGCTGTGTAAGGTCTGTGACATTGTATTGCGTTGGGCTGGTTTCGTTATGATGAATTATGTAACAGTAATTGTAACCGCTAAGCAGCGTTGCCAGTATTCCAGATTTTCCAGATTTTTAGTCGTCTTGTCAGATACACAGACAGACCACGTATATTTCCAGATTTTTTAAATATGTTCCAGATTTTCCCAGATTGATTAAACATGTTGCTTTAAAAATAGCACTGCAATTGATTAACTCTCTAAAAAATCCAATTGTTGGACATTATTGGAATATTAAGGTAATTCTAAAAATAGTTCACAGTGAACCCAAGCAACAATTTTGGTTTTACGAGGGTTCTGTAGACCATGATTTAGACTTGTAGAATGCTATAAAACCGCGATAAAACCTGCAATGTTACTTGGGAAGTGTGAGGTTGAATTCCTTGTGAAATCAAAGGAGAACTTCAAGCTAATTCTGAGTAGTGTTCCATCCATCTTTTTGGGCTTCCTGCTCGTTCAGGCGTATTGTGGGTGCCACAAAGTGAGGGTTCGATTCGCGCTCCAGCCGGTGCAAATTTTGGCAACCTGAAAATTTTCCTACTGGTCCACTGAGTGTGGTGTGTTGTCCGTTGTCTAGTGTTAAATATTCAGTCTGTGCAACCTCTGGATGAAGACGGTGTCAATTGTCTTGTCAAGTCTGATGACAATTGCATGGAGATTTTGTGAATATAGGAAATACAATCCGGAAGAGAAATCATAGAAAATTTTTATGATGAAACTTAAAGACTATGCTGATCGTTGGAATAATTTCAATGGAACTCTGTCCAATGTTTCTAAGGAGATTCATTTTAATAAAATTTTAAGACATTTTAACGGAATTATGCGCGATTTCCGAGAGACTTTCAAGGCCATTTTGACAAAGTATTTGAGTACTTAGGAAATAGTGAAAAGGATTTCAAAATAATTCTGACCTTACCTACAAAGCAGTTCAAATGGAATTATGAGAAGAGTGTGTCGATCATTCTGAAGAGTGAACCAAGAAATTTTTTAAAAATAATGGACAAAAAATTATGCCTATTCTTGGGAATTATTAGCAGTTTGAGGGAATTGTGGAATTGGAGAGTAATTTATAAGAGATTACAAGAAGTAATGCTATGAACTCTCAGAATGTTACTGGACAAGTTTGGATATTATCAAGATTATTTTAGGGGAATCCAGAAAATAAGTATGATGAAATTCTAGGACCATTCAAATGGAATTAAAAAAAGGGCGAAAATAGCCTGTAAAGAGTTCCAAGTAAATTCAGACCAACAAAATTGTTCATGATCTGGGACCCAGGAAAAATAGAAATTCCGGAATTCATAGGCCCTTATTACCGATGTCACTTAACGGTGAAGTGACAACTCATCACTCACGGTGAAGTGATTCCCATTTGATTTACACGGCAATTACTTCACCGTGAGTGACAACTGGTCACTTCATTTCGTTTTCACCGTGAAGTGACACCCGTTATAAGGGTCATAATCATTTCAAGATCCTGACGCTATCAGACTTTCATTTTAGTAGTATAATACAATTATTCTTTGGCCTAAAATTATTCGTAATGGTCATGCGAATAGTGGAGTTACCCGTAGTTTAGGTAAACTTTGTGTGAGTACCACGATGTTAGGCTTTGGTTCCCACTTCAGCCAGGTGAATTTTGCTTCAAAATAAAATTGCCTACATGTCTATAGAGAGTTGTGTGTTGCATGATGTCAAGAATTAAATTGTAAATCTGATCAACCTCAGGGTAGTTGAATTGATTAGAAGTAATAAAATCTTTATATTCTGATACTGCATCAAATAGTAAGGACTATATCGACTATTAAGCACTTCATTCGAGCAGTTAAAATGACGTTTACTACCACTTGAACTTTGAAATAAAACATTATTTTGAGATTGTTTCTTTTAGAACCACGAAAAAAGTAGCCAACATTTGTGCGTTTCATAAAAAATAGAAATTAGTTGGTCCAGTTTTGTGAAATCGCTGGTAGAAAGTCACACCAAAACTGCTTGACAAAGTGGTCAATTAGCTAAAAAATCCATCCCATTAAATTTGCTTAATACTTTGCTTTTCATTCGTTTAAAAAAAAAATTACAGTTTAAAAAACAATTCTAAAAATATTTTCTGCAGTAAAGAGTGATACGGTCAAAATTTGGTCAATATCAACTTGACGTATTTCTTTCAATTTTGCATTTAAAAAACGTGAACACCCCTCATTTTGAAGGTGTGTGTGTGTAGAATGTTGCTCCTATTTTGATTTTGGAATTCACTCTTCAGTTGTCAAAATGCCGTCCAAGCAAGAAGAGCAGCGTATCAAAATTTTGCTCGCGCATCGCGAAAATCCGAGCTACTCGCACGCAAAGTTGGCAAAATCGCTAAAAGTTGCCAAATCAACCGTTACAAATGTAATTAAAGTGTTTGGGGAACGTTTGTCGACAGCCAGGAAGTCTGGATCGGGGGGAAATCGAAAACCGGAAGCCGCTGAGACGACAAAGAGAGTTGCCGGTAGTTTCAAGCGAAACCCTAACCTCTCTCTCCGAGATGCCGCAAATAAGCTGGGTGTATCGTCTACAACCGTGCATCGAGCCAAAAAACGAGCCGGACTATCGACTTACAAGAAGGTAGTGACTCCAAATCGCGATGATAAACAAAATACGACGGCCAAAGCGCGATCCCGGAGGCTGTACACGACGATGCTGACGAAGTTTGACTGCGTGGTAATGGACGACGAAACCTACGTCAAAGCCGACTACAAGCAGCTTCCGGGACAGGAGTTTTATACGGCAAAAGGAAGGGGAAAGGTAGCAGATGTTTTCAAGCACATGAAACTGTCAAAGTTCGCAAAGAAATATCTGGTTTGGCAAGCCATCTGTACCTGTGGCTTGAAAAGCAGCATTTTCATAGCTTCCGGGACTGTCAACCAAGAAATTTACGTGAAAGAGTGTTTGAATAAACGTCTGCTGCCTTTCCTGAAGAAACACGGTTGTTCCGTACTGTTTTGGCCGGATTTGGCATCTTGCCATTATGGTAAAAAGGCCATGGAGTGGTACGCCGCCAACAACGTGCAGGTGGTTCCCAAGGACAAGAACCCTCCCAACACGCCAGAGCTCCGCCCAATTGAGAAATACTGGGCTATTGTCAAGCGGAACCTAAAGAAGACCAAAAAAAAACTGCTAAGGGCGAGCAGCAGTTCAAGGCAAACTGGCTTTCTGCGGCGAAGAAGGTGGACAAGGTGGCTGTACAAAATCTGATGGCAGGGGTCAAGCGTAAGGCCCGGCAATTCGGATTTGGAAAAGCGGAAGCCTAACTGAATATGTTTCCTGAATTTTATACTAATTGAACTTGAAAAAGAAATTTAATTTGATTTTTTAAATAAACGATTTCACCGATTTACACGCGTTTTCCCTTAACCAAATTTTGACCGTATCACCCTTTATGTTGCCCACATTTAATTCAATTTTTGAACTGCTGCGTAATGGATAATAAAACTTTTTTGGGCACACTGTGTCAATACTTTTCCATTTTTGGATGATTTAGCAATGCTAACAAGTTATTTGCTTTACATAATTTATTTGTAATATATTTGTAATATGTAATTCATAACTATTCTAGTACTTTAAATAAATACCAGAGGATCATGCTGACCGATTTTTACGGGAGATAGGCACATCAATTTGATTTCAATAGCATTCCCTAGTAGCACATCTGTCACAAATAGGTTGTGGAAACTCCTATACGACTTATTCTAGTCATAAACAAGTTTCTGCAATTGTTGGTATCGGACATGTGCTACTCGGGTTATGTTAAAACAGGATTTTTCGGAGCATTCCAGATTTTTCCAGATTTTATATTTTAACTGGTCCAGATTTTTCTGAAAATGACCTGGCAACGCTGCCGCTAGGTTAGCCTATCTAGGGTCTAACCACCTGGTCTAGTATAGCATAGCATAGCATAATTCAAGTTGCGCACAATCGTAGGTGGTACGAGTTCTAAACTGATGTTAAAAAGAAGGCTCACTTTTATCCGTTGCTGCAAGCAAATGATTTGGGCTCGGATTTGTTATTAATCACTACCTCTTAGATAAAGGATGTGTCTTCTTCCAACAGTTCAGATATGTCCTGGTCACGTCCTTGCAACTGGTGGTGATCGGGAAGGAATGTTAGTACAACATTTACTTAAGAGAGAACTCTACGACCTCTCATAAATGTCACGGGTAGGGTGGAATATTGTTAGTAGGTCGGGTAAGCCATACACCCAACCGGCGATGCTAGCAGTGAATTATTTTCTAACACGTAGTAATATAGCTGGTAAATAGGTTCCTCCGCTGATGCTGCTCATTTACCTAGAGTATGGAGGCGAACCAGCCCAAGGCTGAAAGCCTCCCTAATAAAGATAAATTAATTAATTTACCTAGAGTCTATACACCTACTGTTCTTCCCGTTGCACTCGTCAGCTCATACGATACTCTAGACACACATGGGTGGTCGTATCCGGGTTCTTCCCTGGGTAGACTCGTGTCCGTCCAGATTCTGGTACAGTAACTTATCAAGCTGAACATTGTATTAGGTCCTAAGTAACATTGATCGATTCTCTTCGCCAACTTTCTCTTTCGTTAATAACATGAGCACATAACCGTTTCTTGTTGTGTTTGTCGTATTAGATGCTAGATGAAAGAAGAGAAAGTCGACGAAGCGAATCTGTCAATGTTACTTAGGACCTAATGTTCAGCTTGTTATCTCTATGCATGGTACTTATACTTTACAGCTCACCTTTTTATTATAATGTCGATAATGCTGAAACCATAAATATACCATACCATATATCATATGCGTGATAATGTTTGCACCATTGAGTAATGTCAAAATTAGGAAAATTCTCAAAAATTTCGTTTTCGAGTTTTTTTATTTATTCAAAGGGGGGATGTTTCTCTAAGACTCTGAGTTAATCATCGATCGAGTTTTCACTTGCTGAAATTACGGCCTCAACACGTTCTCGGAATGCACGGCAGGTTCTAATAATGTAGTCTGGATCCATTTATCACCAGGTACGGGTCAATGTTTGTCTGAGGCTTGCTGTAGTCGGGTGGCGTTTAGAACAGGCCTTGGCCTTCATGACGCGCCATATTGAGTAATCCAGCGCATTAAGATCGGGGTTGGATGGGGGCCACATATCCTTCGCCCAGAACGGAAGATGTTCCTGCAACCACTTCTGAGTGCGGTTCGAGGTGTGGCACGGAGCCCCATCTTGTTGAAATACAACATTTGGCTTCGAATTGCACTGATCTTTGATCCACGGAAGAACATACTTACTTACAATCCCGATGTAGACCTCCGTGTTGGCCTTGTCGCCTTCTGGAATAAACACCTGGTCAATTTGTTTGCCATCGGAAGCCACCAATCCAAACACCATAACGCTAGCAGGATGCTTGGTCAGATACATGTTCTTGTGCTCCTCGGTCACGTCTTTTACCGGAAGAGAACTAATATACGTGTTGTGCGGTAGCAAGCGAATCGAGATTTTGTCAATTCAATGTATTCAGTTTTATTGAATTACAAAATTCCTAATATAAATGTCATATTTGAAATTATTTGTAATTAGATTGAGTATGAGATCGTTCCTTACTTGTAGTGATTCTATACCGCTCAACGTTTTAGTCTAAATGTTCTGTCCAAGTTGTAGCTGTATTTCCTGTGTCTAATTAGATCATAACTGTAGTTCATAAGCTTAAACCAACATTTTTAGTTTAATTTTCACCTTCACTTGTCGATTTAACGTAGTTTAAGCACCTTTCTCGGTCTTTTCTTAGGCCGTATCGCAATATTCCTAGGTAATTTTATAATTAGTTTAAGATTTAGTTATACCGCTTTACGTTATTAACCTGCAGTAGCAAAAAATATTTTCTGCCCGAACTCAATCGATAATTCACTAGTATAAGATTGTGTATTTTACTTAATTTAAGAATTCACTAGGTATTCAGCACTAGGTAATTTAGTAATAATTATTCTTAAGCCGGTTGAAGTGCACAGAAAAACTTCGAACAATAGCTTCTGTTGTTTTTCTTCTGGTCTTCCCACTGTCCCATAGACAAAACAATCCTCCGTACGTACGATGGGTGTGGATGGATTCGACCATCTACGTCGACTGTGTGGGGCGTGTGGGGCTTAACGGGCTCGTCAACGTAGCGCAACCAACACTCCCCCCGGAATGGGCTTCTGGTCATCCTGATGCGCATTGCTTCCAGCGCCTACGTCGAGCACGGCAAGCTTCACAGTTGGTCGCTCGTAGATGCCACCGAAAGTCTGCACAGTAGCACTTCGCACCTGTCCGTCCGATCCCTGCTTTATCCCAATAACTCGGCCTTTAGGCCAAGTGTTCCGAGGAAGTTTCGGGTCCACGATGACAACGATATCGTTGACTCTGATGGGTTTCACCTCCGTGAGCCATTTCGTCCTTCGAGTGATTGAGGGAAGATAATCCCGAAGCCACTGCTTCCAAAATTGGTTGGCTAAAGTTTGCGAAAGCTTCCAGCAGTTCTTGAGCACTTCAGAGCTGTCGTCAAACGGAACCCAAGGCCTTAGTCCATTGCTTGATCCCAGCAAAAAATGATTGGGAGTTAGCACCGGTGACTGGTCATCGTCGATTGGAATGCTAGTTAGCGGACGAGAGTTGACGATATTCTCTATCTCCGTTAGCATGTTTTCGAGGACTTCATGGGACAGCGTTCTGTTGAGTTTCAGTTTACCAAGGTTCTGTTTGACAGTTCGTACGAGACGTTCCCATGCTCCACCCATATGCGGTGAAGCGGGAGGAATGAAATACCAGGACGTATGGGAGGTGGTGAACTCCGCCGCTAGACGATCTCGATCCAAGTTCTCCATAGCCTCTTGGAGTTCTTTACTGGCTCCCTGGAAATTTGTACCTCTGTCACTATACACGACTGCAGGTACCCCCCTCCTAGCCATGACGTTTCTCAGTGCCATAATACAAGAGTCGGTAGTCATTGTGTGAACGATTTGCAAGTGGATGGCACGAGTGGTAAGGCAAGTGGCGAGAAGTACCCAACGTTTCTCGAGACGTCGTCCAAGGATAATCACAAACGGTCCAAAGTAGTCCACCCCCATGTAAGTGAACGGACGAGCGTAGGCGGCCAAGCGAGGTAAAGGCAAGTCGCTCATAGCCGGTGGTTGCGGTCGTGCACGGTCGTTCTTGCATTGCTGACAGCATTGACGGATCCTGTTGTAGGCAGCCTTCAGACGAGGGATGCTGTATCGCTGCCGCAGCTCGTTGATAACTGTGTTATGGTTTTGATGATGATATTTGCTGTGGTAGTGGGATATGACGAGACGGGTGATGTGGTGGTCTCGTGGAAGAATAACAGGATTCACCGCATCCTGATTAACAAACGGACAACTGATGGTTCTACCACGAACGCGGAGTACATCATGTTCGTCTAGAAACGGACAAAGATGATAGATTGAACTGTTCTTCGGTATCGTTAATGTGAAGTTTTCCGACGCTCGTATGCCCGATAGTACTGCTACCTCATCTGGGTAAGAACTTCCCTGAGCAAGCCGGTACAAATAGTTTTCAGCCGTAGCTAGCTCTGAACTCGTCAACACTCCAATAGTTCTTTCTTCGGGTCTGGATGTCCTCAAGTTCCCGATGAATCGAAACACGTATGCAGTTCGATGGACAAGTGGAGTCCATTTAGAGCAGTTTTGGAGGTCGATGATTGGCTCCGGTAATTTGACGTGAACGAGCAAATGTGGGCGCAGTTCCTCCGTAGTAGGTCCTTCGATGTGTAGTTCCACAGGCCATTCTCCTTCAATGTTCTTGAGAAATTCCGGTCCGTTAAACCATCGGCTAGTTCTAGTCATGTCAGGCACCCGTTTCCACTTCGTGCCATCATCAGCAACGTTCTTTTTAGTTTGGATCCATTGCCACTCGTAAACTTCCGAAGCTTCTAGTATCTCACTCACTCGGAAAGCAACAAATTGGCTATACCGACGATGATCGGATTTGAGCCAGCTGATGACGTCACTGGAATCCGTCCAGAAGTAGCGTCTATTCACCTTGATAGACAGTGACTGTGCTATGCTGTTCGCAAACCTGACTCCGATAACGCAAGCTTGAAGCTCCGAGCGCGGAATCGACAGAAATTTGATTGGTGCAACACGAGTCTTCGATCCAACCAGCGCAGTTTCGATGATGGGCCCCTCCTTGAATCGCAGATACACCACCGCCGCGAAACCCTTCTCGCTAGCATCGACGAAGATGTGCATTTGTACTTCGTTGGAACCTCCAACAGATGTAGCCGTCCTGTAGCACCGCGGGATTTCTACCTTTGCCACTTCAGGAAGGACCTTCAGCCATTGCATCCACATCTCAAACTGTTTTTCTTCGATCGGGTCATCCCATCCGACGGGGCCTCCAAAACATCCGGGCTATTTGAGATCCAGTTCCTCATTTCAAAGCCGGCTTCATGGTGAATTTTCTTTACATCCCGTGCGAGGTCCACTGCTTCTTGCTCGCTTTCCACGCTTACAAGCATGTCATCTACGTAATGCTGGTCGACGATAGCTTGAACAGCGGTGGGATGGTCCTTCTCAAACCGTTGGGCGTTGGTGTTTTTGACGTACTGCGCAATGCTTGGAGCACACGACACTCCGAACGGTAACACCAACATGATGTACACCTTAGGATCCGCGTTGCCTTCATCGCCCTTCCAGAAGAAGCACAGTCGAATATCTTGCCTCAGTAGAACCTGCAGATACATCTCCCGGATATCCCCGCAAATTGCGATCCGGAATTCACGAAACTGGACGAGAACTGCAAGTAGCGACGTCAAAAGGTCAGGGCCTTTGAGTAACAGCGAATTGAGTGAAACGCCATAAGCAGGAGCAGCTGCGTCCCAGACTAGCCGTACCTTACCCGGTTTGTTGGGGTTCACAACAGGGAACACGGGTAAGTACCATTCCTTAGACTGATGCATATTGAGTTCATCATCCGACAACTTCCGAACGTAGCGTTTATCCACGTATTCATCCATCTTCGTCGTCACGGTTTTTGCAAACTCCTCATCCCGCTTCATGCGCCGGTCTAAACACTGCCATCTTCTGTAAGCCATTCCTTTGCTACTTGGAAAGCGAACATCATCGTACTTCCAGAGGAGTCCCGTTTCGTACCGCCCTTCTTTTGGGATTGTCAGCTTTTCGAGCATTTCCAAGGCACGTTGTTCTTCCGTTGACCGCAAAATCTTTTCTGGTTTTGCCACTCCAAGGCTATCTAGAGTGAAGTAGTTCTTCATTGCGGTGTGCAGGTTATCGTCGGAATCAAGATTGCACTCACATACTTTAATCGTATGGACATTCACGTAGTTTTGGTTTCGCTGTGTTCGTGAACAACTCCCGTAGATTATCCATCCCAAGCGTGTTTTGACGGCGATAGGTTCGTATGGCTTTCCTTCTCGACTTTTCATAGCATGCCCAAGCGACGCATGGTCAAGCCCAATCAGGATTCGAGGACATACGTTACTGTAGGATTCGACAGGTAGTCCACCGAGGTGTTGATACCGTTGCAGTAACTCAGAATACACTAACGTTTGCGGCCGAAGTTGTAGGTTCTGAATCGTATGTACGTTGGACATCCTGTGCGACTTCGAGGTATTTCCGATGGCTGATATTTCCACATCCACCTTCTGGGATTCATTCTCCACTCTCTTGGTACCACCCGTCCATTTTAAGCACAGCGGTGTTCGAGGCCCCTTTACGCCAAGCTCCTCTGCAAGGCTATCTTCCATCAGTGTCAGCTCTGAACCGTCGTCTATGAACGCGTATGTCTGGATGGATTTTGATGGACCGTGGATTAGCACGGGAACAATCCTGAACAGGACTTCGCTAGTTTGAAGTTGGTGAATATTGCAACTTCCGGTAGCAAAGGTTTGGCCAGAACGTTCCTTTTCAACCTCCTGGTGGTCATTGTGCAACAACGGATGATGCAAAAAGATGCATCCTTTGATCCCACACGGTTTTTGCTGCCTGCATGATCCATTGTGCTTACGCAGACATTTGCGACACAGCTTTCTCTCTCGTACAACAGCCCACTTTGCAACTAGGCTTAACTCAGCAAATCTTTTGCACTTTGCAACTGACGGACAATGACCTCGGCATGTGATGCATTCTGTCATTGGCGCTGATGATGATCCGTGGATACCCCGAGTCTTTGCAGCTGCTGATCGGGACAGTTCTGATTCTGCTTCAGAGTGGACATTGATAAATCCATCATTCTTTGCTCCACGACTTCTTTGCGTGCTGAACGAAGTTTGCATAACTGAACTAGCATCTTCCGCGATCGAGTACAGCCAATAACTGAAATCAAGCAGATTTGGTGCTGCATTATTTCTGGAATACTTCGCCCAATCCAGCTTCAGCCCAGGAGGAAGACGATCCACTAGCTCACATTTCAAAGACGCATTGTATACGAAATCTTCGACGCCGCATGCCTCTATCGTAGCTACCAAGTTTTCGACCGTCAATGCAAAATTGACAAGAGTGTCGAGTTTTTCCACTTGTGGCGATGGTAATGACCGAATCTTCCTAACTGATGCCTGAACGATTGCTTCTGGTCTTCCATATAGCATTTTCAACGTAGAAATTACACCGATAACGTTGGATGGGTGGAGTAGCCGGCATCGTACAGCATCTAGAGCCTTGCCCTTCAAGCATTTTCGAAGCCGAAGCATGTTTTCTTCGTTGGAGAAGCCACACATCTTCGTTGAAGAGTTGTACATGGAGAAGAACAGCGGCCAATCTTCAGGATTTCCGTAAAACTCCGGTAACTCCTTGGATACAGCCTGACGTGCTGCTAACTGGCTTCGGTTGAGGATGCACACGTTCTCTTCGACATTGCGAGCAGCTGGTTCCGGATTTCCGAAACCTCGGGATGTTGAATCTCCTTGAAGCATTTCATTCCTTGACCCTGAAGGTTGACGATACTGGCTTTCCGGGACGATTGTTGGTTCTGGCCAGAAGTGTTCATTTGGTGCAGCAGGTGGCGGCCGAATGCCCTGAACTCCTGGAGCTGGAGCCACTCGAGGGACTTGCGAATGATGGAACTGGATTCCTGGAGCTGGAGCAGGCCGAAGATCCTGTGGCAGGTAGTTATGTGTTTCTAAAGCTGCAGCTGACCGAAGTACTTGTGGTCGGTAGAACTGGTCTTCTGGAAGCGTGTGCGAAGGCGACCTTCGGAGCAGGCCTTCTGGAACAGGTGCCGGTGGTCGACGGAACTGGACTTCTGGAGCTATGGCTGATGGTTGACGGAACTGGACTCCTGGAGCTGTGGCTGGTGGTTGACGGAACTGGGTATCTGGAACAACAGGCTGACGAAATGGCTCCTCTGGAACTGGTGCCGGTGGTCGGCGGAACAGGCTTTCAGGGATCGGTGCTGGAACGGAAGGTTGCATTACACGGCTCCTCAACCTCGGATCCATACGAACGGTCTCTTGAGGCGTTGAACGTTGGTTAGGAACGAAACCATGTAGAGATGATTGCGGTTCCGTCTGCCCCATAGTCGGTGCCTGCTGAATGACAGCTTGCAGTTGATCATCGTTCGACTCTTCTTCCACCAGACCGGAATCATAATCTTCACCACACTTTTCCGTATCTCTCAGCCATCCTCTCACTTTGGACATCTCCTCGGATCCTACATCATCATCATCACTGGCGACAGTTTCATCGTCAGCGTCCTCTTCATCCAAAATGCGGTATTTTTCATCCAAAAACTTTTGTTCCAACTGCTTCTGCTCTTCCAGCTTCTGCAATAGTCGATCGACCTTCCGTTGATTGCTCCGGTTACTGCTTGCCTTTCCGGTGGACTTCTTTGAACTTACAGAGTTGGGGGGTGGATCTACCGGTTGAATCTGCTGGAGCATTGGTGTCTGCTGCTCTTGATGACTTGCGCCGAAATGCATGTATGGACACTTTGGACAAATCCAGCTGTAGTCCGCTATGCCACTAGTCACTTCTACACAAGAGAAATGATACCACTTATCGCAACCATCACACTGCACCATTCTACTAGTATCACGTTCACTACACAACTCGCAATGACTGTACCGAGTTATATGAACGCGTTGGTTCAGATCAAGTCGAGCGTTGGGTCTCGCGTTAACGACAATATTTGACGACCGGACGGGATTGACTTTAGTAGTAGCACTAACCTTTATTTTGGGTATGGCTCCCTTTACATGGGCCTGTCTGGTATTGGCAACGTCAAGATTTACCTGAGGACTAGGAGGGGGAGGAACTACTTTTACCACAGCTGCATCGCTCTTTGCGCCTGTTGCCGATTTCATCGAGTCCTTCGCTCCGCGTTTCGCGTTGGTCACGATAGTGAGACTGTTGATCCCGGCAACTACATCTGCATCGGTTATTGGAGTTCCCGTGTCCTTGTCTGCTGCGCTACCCACATCGCCTGTACCGAAAAGTTGGCTTACCGCACCCATGACAGAACTCAATTCCGACCTGGATCTGGTTGACGATTTGCGAGACATCCTCGACGTGCTTACAAGAATTTTGTAAGATGTTGTGCGGTAGCAAGCGAATCGAGATTTTGTCAATTCAATGTATTCAGTTTTATTGAATTACAAAATTCCTAATATAAATGTCATATTTGAAATTATTTGTAATTAGATTGAGTATGAGATCGTTCCTTACTTGTAGTGATTCTATACCGCTCAACGTTTTAGTCTAAATGTTCTGTCCAAGTTGTAGCTGTATTTCCTGTGTCTAATTAGATCATAACTGTAGTTCATAAGCTTAAACCAACATTTTTAGTTTAATTTTCACCTTCACTTGTCGATTTAACGTAGTTTAAGCACCTTTCTCGGTCTTTTCTTAGGCCGTATCGCAATATTCCTAGGTAATTTTATAATTAGTTTAAGATTTAGTTATACCGCTTTACGTTATTAACCTGCAGTAGCAAAAAATATTTTCTGCCCGAACTCAATCGATAATTCACTAGTATAAGATTGTGTATTTTACTTAATTTAAGAATTCACTAGGTATTCAGCACTAGGTAATTTAGTAATAATTATTCTTAAGCCGGTTGAAGTGCACAGAAAAACTTCGAACAATAGCTTCTGTTGTTTTTCTTCTGGTCTTCCCACTGTCCCATAGACAAAACAATCCTCCGTACGTACGATGGGTGTGGATGGATTCGACCATCTACGTCGACTGTGTGGGGCGTGTGGGGCTTAACGGGCTCGTCAACGTAGCGCAACCAACAATACGGGTCGGTTCTGGAATTTGATAGGGATCGACGGTAAACATGCTCTCGTCGGTGAACAGGATCACCGGATTTTTTCGC